GATGGATCTAGACTGTTCTCAGTGGTAGCAGATGACAGAACAAGGAGTAATGGTCTCAAGTTGCAGTGGGGGAGGTTTAGGTTGGATATTAGGAAAAACTTTTTCACTAGGAGGGTGGTGAAGCACTGGAATGGGTTACCTAGGGAGGTGGTGGAATCTCCTTCCTTAGAGGTTTTTAAGGTCAGGCTTGACAAAGCTCTGGCTGGGATGATTTAGTTGGGGATTGGTCCTGCTTTGAGCAGGGGGTTGGACTAGGTGACCTCCTGAGGTCTCTTCCAACCCTGCTATTCTATGATTCATTTCCCCTCTCATCGAAGTCGTGCTAACAAGAACAGGTTGAAGGACTGGAGTCCTGGTGTAGGCACAACTGGTGTCTGCTGCTATACCAGCCCCACCATTGGCCTTTCTGGGTACCATGGGAGATGTCACCAATGTCCAGGTCCTTGTCTCCACTGCTCTACTGAAAGACATCCCCAAGAAGGGAAATTTCCCCATCTGATACCAATGGACTGTTCAAAGTCAGTACTGAGCAGCCACTGCATTACAGAAACATGCCCCTCAAAGATGGAGGTTTCACCTGGTGATGATGACAGACCACTTGATGTTGGCAACGAGCTTCTGCTGGGCACCAAAGATCAGGACTGCCCACTGCCTGTATTAACTATATTTTCTACGTTGACAGTTCAAGACCTTCTTCAAGATGGTCCTAGCCTGCTGCCTCTGAATGCATCATCCTTGTCACCACTTGAGGCTCTGGTACCAAACACACCTAATGATTTTAAGTCCTGTTAAGAACTCCTGAAAAGGATGGCTATGTCCCTTGGTATACAAATGGAGCTTGTGAAGAGAAAAACCTCACAAATTCAGACATTTTACCTTCTGCCTCATGTTGTCCTCCCTATAAGTCAATAATATAACATATTAAAGCCTTATGGGAAATTCCATCATCCATCGTGCCTGTGGCGAAGTGTATGGAATGCAAGTACCAGGTTCCATCACATGGGTTCAAACAGTTCTGTCAGAACCCCACCAGGCTCCTGGGATTGTTAGCAGTAAATGAAAGATTTGCCAAGATAGAGCAAAAGCTACACTGTAAAGAAAAGGATGCAAAAGATTTTTAGTAGAACGGTTTATTAAGCTGAAGGTTTATAACTCACCATCAGGCCCTTTGACCCATTATAACTAGGATGCTATGTCCAGGTTCTTCAGTAAACTGCCTGAAAACTTCAGAGGCAAGTTCCAATTCCTCCTGGTGAAGTGTTGACGGGTTGTAAAGTTTGCTCTGCAGACTTCCCTGGATGCTGTAGACTCAACTGCCAGAGTAACCGTGATGGCAGTAACCATGAGCTGCTGCTTGTGGCACCAATTGGGGATTTCTGTGGAAGTACAAGTGATATTGAAGATCTCCCCTTCGAAAGCTGTGCTTTAGTGTCCTGAAGACTGATGAAACATTACATATGTTAAAAGATTCCAAGGCAGTGTTGAAATTCCTGTATAAACCAGCCACCAAAAGAGCAAAATTTTGACCTCAGTTTCAACTGAGGCAGTAGTAGTCTATACCTAGACAAGTAGACCAGTGTAGGCAAAAACAGAGGCAACGAAGGAGGAGTGGTTATTGAAAACCAATTTAATCACATATAGGGTCCTTCTAATCTGAAGAGATCTGTCACGTAGCCAGGTTAATATGACTTAAGATCTTAACCAATAATCACACTGCTGCCAATCCTTTAGTAACTAAAATCTAAAGGTTTATTAATAAAAGAAAAGAGGAGAGTTAAAATGGTTAATCATATACATGCAATAATTACAATGTTCTTATCAGGTTTGTAGCAGTGATGTCATAGACTGCTGGCTTGTAAGGTGTCTCTGCTAACTTTAAAAGATTGGAACATCCTCAGTTCATAGTTCAGTATGCTCCTTTTAGTCATAAATCCACAGTCCAGAGAATCAGGGCAGGAAAGCGACAAAATGGAGTAATTCCAGGGGTCTTTTAGACCCTCTGCCATGTGTCTGGAAATTTTCCATTTCAAACAAAGCTCACAACGCAGTTTGTGGAAAGTTACTGGCACAAGATGGAGTCCAGGGTGACATGAGCATATCACATGTCTTTCCATGTCTTGATGACTCACAGGGGGGTAGCCATTGGCCCCTTGGAGGCTGAGGAGTCTGCAGGAAGAGACATTTGGGTGAAATGAGTCTCTTCTGTGGCCCATTGTGAGAGCTAAGGGTCTTTAATAGGTCCTCAAGCTTGAGTAGTCCATTCACTAGACTGGGTGTAAACTACCTTGGGTGTTACCCCAGGAACAAACACATTTGAAATACAGATATATAGCCAATATTCAAAACTTCAGATACAGTGATACATGGATTTAAACAGGATAATCTTATTTATCAATTTTTAACTTTCCATTGATACCTTGCATGATATACTTTGCACATAATTTGTTGCAATTGTCTAACTGTGGCAATATCAATGATATACATGGTCATGTTTCAGTCATACAGCATCACACTTAGTAAAGGCAGAATGACATTTAGGCACATTCCTGGATCCTTTTTGATGGAATTGATACAGAGCACTGAGTGTGGGGTTTGGTGTTTTTAAATTATTCTGTAGCTGAAGAATCATAAAGGGAAAACCAAACACAATTGCATTGATCACTGGATGCAGAATAGAGTAAATTTCAAATATTAAGCTATGTAATAAATACAATTTAACAGGAACATCCAAACAGGTTACACTGATGGAATTTCTAATATGATAGATGGCAGTTTCTGAACTCAAAAATTGTTGCATCCAACATGGACAAATTCTGTATTAGATTTCATCTTGATAAAGAGGACCTGACCACAGAACTAAAAATCTGTGGTTGCGTAGGTGCAAGTTATCATTACTTACGTTTGTTGAGCACAAACAGAATAGAGTCTAAATCAGTAATATGTATACAAGGTGTCTTAAAAAGAACAATTTCAGAAAGCGGACAACAGTTGAGCCAGATTAGCTGGAAGAGAGAATTCGAACAAATAAGTGTGAATAATTGGGAATGATTTAAGTTTTTAATAACTGCCCAAAAATCCACAGTTCTAAAATTGACAGATGACTATACTGGTGGGGAAAAAAACTGTTTTAGAGGGGAAGTGAACGCATCTCTCTCTTTAACAAATGGAATAAAGTGATGTTGATAAAAATTAATACAAGTTAGAAGCTAGAAATTGTAGAAATTTGATAAAGCAAAAAGACCAAAGAAGAAAACAATGGCCAGCAGAGTTAAGAACAGTAAGTTTAAATGTGAAAACCGAAAGGAATCCTAAGAATGACACTGGTTCGTTACTCAGTTGAAATGGTAGAATAGTTAATAATGTAGACGAGGCAGAAATGATCAATAGAGATGCCCATTCTGTATTTGGGGTCAAAAACCAGATGATGTAGTCATGTCGTATGATGAAATACTTTTCTTTCCAACATTAACTGAGCAGGCTATAAAACAGCAGCTGCTAATGTTAGATACTTTTAAAACATTAGGTCTAGACAACTTGTATATGAGAGTTTAAAAAGAGCTGGCCAAGAAACTCAGAAGTGTTGATGATTTTTTTCACTAAGTCTTGGAACATTGGGAAAATTCCAGAGGACTGGAAGAAAGGTAATATAGTGCCAGTGTTTAAAAAGAGTAAATGGGATGACCTGGGTATCTATAGACTGGTCAGCTTGACATTAAAAACTGTCAAAATGCATGCACACAAAAGGCTGAATTAAGCTTGCACAGTCCTATCCAAATCCTTTCCCCACCATGTCATGTATGAAAAGACTGATATCAGTTACTGTTTGCTTGCTTGTTTTCTAGCCATCACTTCTATTAAAATGTAGCTTTCTGTATAAAACAACTTTTCTAGAAAGTTGAGAAACCGAATGCATTTCTTAATAGGCCAGTTAAAGTTGGTTTTAATTTCTAAATCAATTTAAAAAAATCTTTGAACATCTGACCAACTGGCTTTCCCATGGTGTTCTCAATCTTTAAAACTCTCAGATTCTTGATTTGGGTTAAAATCTGGACTGTTTATAATAGTTGATTAATTAATGAAGGAAAATAACTTGTTCTATCCCGAGCCCATCTGGTTTGTTCTGGCCTTAAAGTATATGAACCTTTGACAAAGGATGTGTGTAAGTTTCTGGAAGGTGTGATTTTTTTTTTAATTATTATTATTATTAATCCAGAGTAACCTTTCAGTATTTACAGTACCAATTATTTTTCTTTCAATAAAGACCTAGAGTCTGGATGAAGTAGAGAACCCATAATTCACTGTTGCTTTGAGCAGGCAGCCTTGATAGTACTGTATAATTAATATTTGGAACAGCTGTGTCCACTCTGTTTATTAGATCTGCATATAAAGGAGATTTTGAGACTCATTTGAAGTCTGATCCCTTCTTGATCATTAAGTATCAACACAGAGGACTAGACTTGATGGGACTTCTATATTTCTGTGATTCTGTCCCCTAGCACTTCTTATGAGAATAGAGATGTTAACTTTCACACTCCCCGTTAAATTCCAACTTGGGCTATTATATTCTAACTAAAATGTTTCTGCAGCTTTAGTTAAATATGATTGTGATCAGCTAAGTCCTAAACAGTCTAATGTTGCTGAGAACTGAAACATGGAAGTGGCTTCATCTCAGTAGTGGATGAAGTGTTCCTGTGTTTGTACTATATGTCTATTTCAGTTTGTAAAGTGCTCTAAGATGAAAGATAATTTCTTAATATAAAATATTTAGCATGTTGGTGGTGACAGATGTAAGAGCTAGCTATAAAATAGAATTAGCTTGATCTGTACCATGCAGTTAAACTTGAAATGTGGGTATATTTTGTCTGATTTAGCAGAGGTTATTAGCAGAGAAGCTGGTGAACAGGTTTCTTAATCTAAAATTGGGTGTAATAAAACAACTATTCATGAAATGTTTTATTCATATCTAATTCTGTCAACATCTCATTGCTTTTTGCTTATAGGACACTGCCTTTCGAAAGCCGAGAGAAGTATTCAGGCTACCTTCAGACGTGACAGCTTGCGATAATCGCCTTTGTGCATCAATACACTTTTCATCTTCTACCTGGGTTACCATTTCAGATGGAACAGGAAGTTTGTTTCTTATTAAAACGGGCAAACGTGGAGATGCTGCATCTGAAAAGTGGGAGGTAAGTTTTGCTAAAATATTAGTTTTTATAAGTGTCGTTCTCATACTATTCCTGTTTTAGGATTCAATCTTGGAAAGAGCTACACACTTTTCAGAGTAGTTCATACATTATAAGCCCAGAAGGGACCACTGTCATCTAGTCTGACTACCTGCATAATACAGGCCACAGAAGTTTCCTGAGTTAGTTCCTGTTTGAACTAGAGCATGTATTTTAGAAAAACGTCCAATTTTGATTTAAAAATTGCCAGTAATGGAGAATCCACCACAACCCTCAGTAAGTTGTTTCAGTAGTAAATTACACTCATTGTTAAAAATTTGGGCATTACTTCCATTCTGAATTTGCCTAGCTTCAATATCTAGCCATTGGATCCTGTTATACTTTTTATCTGTGCAATTAAAGAGTCCATTATCAATTTTTTTTTTGTTCCCCATGTAGGTACTTATAAATTATGAACTGTGATAAAGTTATATCTTAACCTTCTTTCAAGGGCGGCATGTGGAGACCCATTTGGGGAGGTTAGACCATGAGCAGATCTGTAGTTGGTTGGCATCCTGTGTCCAGTTGATAAAGTCCTTGCACTCCCCGACGCTACACAGACGATCCAGCTCCTCCTGCAGCTTTCTTACCTGTTTCCTGAGGACTCCACCAACAGACATCTGTCACGCTGGCTGGTTCTTCCCCCCCCCCCCCCCCTCACCCCCCCCCGGCCTGGCTTTCGTTGGCAAGGGCATGCAGGCTGAATTCCCAGCAAGGCCTGGGAGGAAGCCTCCATGGTCGGGATGCCTGTGTGGCGGCAGGCCCCACTGGCAGGTAAAGAAGAGCTAGCGGTGTTTTGACAACACGCTGTTTTTCTCCCATAGCAGGTTCTTCCTTTTAGAGTACCAGCTGGAGTACCAGTATCAAGAACTGTTGCAGAGGGTGGTGGTAAAACTTCAGATTCCATTAGAAGAAGTTCAAGATACTCTTGGATGTCCTGCAGCCCACTGGATCATTTTGGGTACCTCTTCCAGTGAATGAGGCCGTTATGGTACTAGCTAAAGTGGTATGGCATACATTGGCAACATGTACCCCACCTCTAAAAGGGCTGAGAAGCGCTACTTTGTGCCTGCAAAAGGGGCAGAATTCTTGTCACCCATCCTGCCCTCCCCAACTCACTAGTAGTACAAGCAGCCACGGAAGGATCCAGGCAGCAACGTCCTAAGACCACCCATGCAGACAAGGGAGCTAAATTCCTTGATCTTCTGGGGAAGAAGGTATTCACATCCACCAGCTTCCAGTTCAGAATCTTTAACTACCAGGCTATGTAAGCAAAATATGATTTTATGAAGTATTTGAAGTTCAAAAATGGGTCCTGTCCTGTGGGGGGAATTTAATTCCCAGCCCTTGTTGAGGAAGGTAGACTTGCGGATAAAACCTCACTGCACGCTGATCTATAGTGACTGGAGCAGTAATGCATTGAGAGTCACTGCTTCACTCTTCGGTTTCCCAAGAAGGTCCAGAACACCAGTGAGAATTTGCACTTCGGTGAAGCCTATCTCTTTAACAAGAAAACAAGCTAACTTTTGCACTCATTAAGATTCCAGGACATCCCTCCACACCTTGGGCATTTATACTCCTGCCCCAAAGAGGAAGCATCATGAACAGATATATAAGCCAAGGCCTCTTCCATATCCTTTCTACCACCAACAATCATATGAACTGCCATGTAAGCACCAAACGGTGCAGAAACCAAGGTATGCAGCTGTGATGTTCCCCTCTGGTATTATCTGGATCGGTGATCTGCAAGGTCACTCCAATCCTCAACTCTGGGAGCCAGCCTCACCCTGCTCTGCTGTGAGACCCCCCACTCCTGGGCTGTTCACGCACAGCCTTTGGCATGTAAGCTGCTCCTTGGATTGTGCAACCAAATGACACTAGCCAATATCTCCGGTCCTAGACACAACCCTAGGAACCTCAGTCTTGCAGTGTCCAGTTATGCCCGCTGGACGCTGTGAACTTTTGAGTTTGTCAATTTAACAAAGAAATTGGTATGTACCAGGCTTGTTATCCCAAGGGGAGTCTTTGACAGGCTTCAAACCAAATGCACTGCTTCAGGTAGAATAAACAAACAGATTTATTAACTACAAAGATAGATTTTAAATGATTATAAGTCAAAGCATAACAAGTCAGATTTAGTCAAATGAAATAAAAGCAAAACTCATTCTAAGCTAATCTTAACACTTTCAGTGCCCTTATAAACTTAGATGCTTCTCACCACAAGCTGGCTGGTTGCCCTTTAGCCAGGCTTCCCTTTCATCAGCGCTTCAGTCGTCTGTAGATGGAGGTGGAAGAGAGAGGAAGCGCGTGGCAAATAATCTCTCCCTTTTATCATGTTATTTCTTTCCTCTTGGCTTTACCCCTCCCCCACCCTTCAGAGTCAAGAGAGCATTACTTCATCGCAGTCCCCAACTGATCAAAGGAAGGGGGGTGACTCACTCTAGAGTCCAACAGATCCTTCTTTGTTGCCTAGTGAGGCTGGGCTGGGTTTGTCCCATACATGCCCTGATGACGTGTGAACTGCTCCTCTGTTCTTAGAGAGTTTTTGCCTGGGCTTGCTTTAAGCCATGAGGAACATTTTCAGCCTCATAACTATATACATGAAATTATAACCTATAACATTACCATAACAACAATGCTCAGTACATCATGAGCCTTCCGAAGACACCCGACGTGGCAAATTTTGCATTAGATACCACACAATCATATTATAAGGATGAACATGGGGGTGTAGGGTGTTCCCATGAGGTACAGAATGTCACAGCAGCCCCATCCTTCTTGACAATAGCTACCCAACCTCATCTACTGGCTAAAAGTTACTTTTGACAGAACGCTTGAGAGTTGCACACCATTGCAAGGATGCGATCCCCACCTGTTTCCAAAGTCAGCTTTGGTGGCCAACTAGTGTACTTTGCCTACAACTGGAGAGCTACAACAATGGACAAGTGGGTACTGGATATCTTCCACTTTGGCTATGCTGTCAAGTTTTTCTCCACCTCCTCCAAAACCCCATTCCTGACCTCCCTTCAAAGACCACTCTCACAAGGAAATCCTCAAACCGGAAGTGGAATCTCTTCTCAAGTGAGGAACTGTAGAGTGAGTGCCACCTCAGCAACAAGGGAAAGGCTTCTATTCCAACTATTTCATAGTTCCCAAGAAAAAGGGAGGATGGAGGCCCAGAATTTATATCATCCTCAGATTTCTTTGCTTCCCCACAGAAAAATGACTTCTGAGGGGAAGGAAAGGGAAGCCGCAAGAGTGGTCACTTGCTCCTCCCCCCAGCCTGGAGCAGCTGGCAGAGATGTAAATCAGCACTTGGGAGAGGGTAGAGGGTTTGGGCTTGTGTGAGGAGATGTCAGTCGTTGCCGGAGGGGGTGGGGCCGAGTGGGCAAGTGGACGAGAGACTCTGTCCCTCTGGCTCGCTATTGCAGCACGCTTGGCATGGGGAGGGTCCAGGCTTTGGGATGTTTGGAGGTAGGCATGAAGAAGGCTCTGTCCCCTCAGGCAGAGCATAATATAGCAGCCTGCCTGCTTAGTTGTTCCCATTGTTGTTAGTTGTTTGTTCCCATTCTTAGTGAATTCTCCCAGGAGCATAAAACACGTGTAAAAGTTTTAAGGCTCCTTTTCATTGCCAAAGTGGTGTAAAGGACCCTTATTGTAAATGATAGCGTGGCCTTATAAATGTTTATGGTGTTTTAATGATTATAACTGCTCTAAATGTATGGACTTCAAAATTTTCCTATCAAAATATGCTCCATTAACTATTTACTACTCACCTTTCTGGAGATGGTCAATAGCCAATATAAATTGTGAATTTCATTCCCCAGCCTTCAGTTGCCTATGATGTAATACTAAGCATGTTGTTGCATATATATTTGACTAATAACTAGAAATAAAGGATCAAACCTAGCTCATTACTGTTAGACAAAGGGGGTTTGGGGATTTCTTTCAATGCTCCCCACTTCTATTCTCAATCCATTGTAATGTAGTTTAAATGACCAAAATATTTGAAACTGGCGTGATTGTACTGGGTTATTTTTACAAATAAAATATGCAGAATTTTGAAGAATTTTAAAATATTGTGCTCAGAATTTTTAATTTATGGTGCAGAATTCCCTCAGGAGTAGATCATGAGTGGGAGTTAGACAATTCAGTGTTGAACAACATCTTCACTCAGTGGGGAAGACTATCTTGGGACCTGTTTGTCTCCCAGAGGAACAAGAAGTTCAGCATATATTGTTCCAGAGCAGCACTAGGTCAGGACTCTAGGGACAATGTTTGCCTGCTGTTCTGAACCAGCCATTTGAAGTACGCCTTCCTTCCCATCCTGCTACTACCCCAGGTTCTATGGAAGATTCATTTCGACAAAGCACGAGTCATTCTCATCACGCCCAATTGTCCTAGACAGTTGTTGTTTCTGGACTTCCTACCAATGTCAATCCATCAGCATTCAGTCCTTCCTGGACCTGCCAACTCAGGCAAATGGTGGGATCAGACCTTCCAGTCTGGACTCTCTTCACCTCATGGCTTAGTATTTGGATCAGTATCAGACCTAGAGCGTTCATGTTTAGAAGCTGTATAAACTACACTTAATCACAGCAGGAAAGATTCTACCAGAAAATATTATCTAGCCAAATGAGGTATTTCTCTACCTGTGCACGATAGAATCAGTTATAAGGGTCAGCAGGTATTCCTGCTATTTTAGACTACCTCCTCACTCTCATGATGTCAGGTCTTTCTATTAGCTCTCTGTGGATCCACCTAGTAGCAATCAGTGTATGCCATCTTCCAACACATTCTATTTTTACTCTCCCCGTATCTACCAGATTCACATCAATAGTGATGCCAACACTGCAGTGAGACCTCAGTCTTGTATTTTCAACACTTACAGGCTACCTTTCAAACCATTGGCCATGTACTTGATGTCCCACCTGTCTATGAAGGTCATGTTCCTGTCACAGTTA